CTTTCCTGAAGCCCTTTACTTTGCTGCCTTTTTAATAGCTCCTGCCAGAAATGATATCAGAGCTGGAGGGTTAGAGCCGCAAATGCAAAACAAAGGAGCAACAAAAGACAGGAAGAAGAGGGGAGCTGATAACCAAGAGGTCTACAAAAAGGGTAAATGTGGCCACACACACACACACACACACACACGCACTGCTATCTTTGCAATCCTTCTGGAATTTCAACCAACAAACATCATTCCTAAAAAAAACATGAGTAATTGTTCCACAAAACTTTCCAGTTATTGCTCATCATGGAGTAAAGCGCCTTAAATTTGGATGTTGCTCATCTGTATTAAGGTCTATCACAGATTATTGGAATTGTGAAAGATCATTTCTGACTCACTGAACCTGATGAATGCAGACTTATCTCATTTTCGCAAATGCTCTCTACTTTATACTGAATAAAAATGCCTTTGAGTAAAAACCCCAGCACTAGTGATAATGTAGAAGTCTAAAGCAATCTAAAGCACTGACAGGAAGATTTTGAAGAAAAGTAAAGAAACATTATGATGTAATTTGAATAAGAACTATTTATTATTCAGCATTATTTCTTCTAATAATCAATCAGTGATTAGTCACTAATTATATAAGCAAACTTGTGACTTGTAAACTCTGTGCAAAAGGTCAGCTGTTCTTGCTAACATTGAAGCTCAAGATGCTCTTGGATCATATCATGCTGGAGAACATGAACATCAGAGTTTTAAACAGACATATAGAGGTCATGTCAGTTTGAGTGCAATAAACATCCCCATTTCATTAGTCTCTTGACTTTTTGGACCCCACTGTATGTTTTGCAGTTGAGGTGTTGTTGGCTTTGAGCTCTGTCCCACCTCTGGTGAGGACGTCCTGTTTCACAACAAGCGGAGAGCTGATCGCTCCCTGAGCCTATCCAGACTCCCTATATGGTTTATTGTGCTTGACCGGATGTTTAAACCGTTATAGCTGGATCTTACAGATTTCTCTACCAATCTAGGTGGTTTTCACGCATGGTGCAGTCTAAAATGTGATGGTCTAGTCTTGTTGAAACTAGCCTGAGTCTTATCCCCATATAACAACTGGCAACACATCATAGACGAGTCACTGCACAGAACTAGACCGCTCAGCATCGGAAGCATAAGTCATGGTTTGTCAAGTGATTCACTGAGGCCCTAGAGGGACAAAACACTCTTTTTCACACAAGTCCACAACTGCTGACATATATTGGGACTTTTTTTGACTCTGTGACTTTATTTCTGAATGGATTTACTTAGAAAAACAGCACAGCACCTTGCTAATATAAGACAGCGCAAGTTATCAATGTGGGCAGGCCATCTTGGTAGATCTTATTATGTTGGTCTACAAGTCAATTCAATCTATATGAACATAATGATCAAAGATGGGTCACATCACTGGGATCTTCCTGTTATGAATGACCTCCCACTTCCTTGCGTGCGACTGTTGCAACAGGACGTAAGTGGTCATTTGCAGAATAGAAGGAAACGCAGAATGAGTGAACTTGTGTAGGAGAATAGAATAAAGACATTTGGAAAACTATTTAAATGCCTGTTCTGGGATTCGAGAGAGGCACCATTTGACCCACATCTCCCTTATCTATTACCATTTTATCTAAGCCAAATTCCCGTAAGCTGAAAACTACAGATAGCAAGCTGTAAGCTTTAATCATACAATAATCAAAAAGCTTTAATCATACAATATACAGAGACTATGATGCACTTCAAAAATATCAGAATAAAACATCAGTCAGTTTCGTGTTGCATTAAATATACTGTACAACCACCAATGTCTTGCCAAAAATTGTGTGCTTTTATTTCCTAAATTTACATGCTGCTTCACTTTCAAATGTTTATGATTTATTTTTAATAAACGCACTTTTGTAATGAACAGTGTAAAGCATTTTTGATGGCCTGCAGAGGTCAATGGATACAATGGGATTCCAAAACAGAAAATAATGAAATGGCAAATTGGCATGAAGAACTTACAACACGTTGGGCTTCAAACAGATATCTGTTTGCTAACAGAGCTATTATTAGACAACATTACTCATTAAAAATTATTCCCAGTTTGCCAGAAAAAAAAATGAAATTGAATCACTGTTAGATCATAAGTGATAATGTATAACCTGCTCATACAGAAGGGTTACTTCCAACTATACAAGCAAGAAATCCCTGTGTTAGAGATACACTGTTCTGTGATTTAAGGATGAAAAAATGAAAATGATAAAAAAACTATATTACGCCATTGCATTCACATTCCAGAACATTTATTACCTCATGCAATGCTGTAGTGATCAGCTTTGGTTTGGTTAAATTTTCAGTCCATAAATGGAGATAGGAAAAGTGAGCTTTTACTTTTGCTGTGAAGTGAATAAAAAGTTTACAGACTTGTGTTCCATGATTTAAAAAAAATGTTCCTGCACCTCAAACGTTTTCCTATAGTTCAAACAGTAGAGTTTGGTTTTCCCGGGCAATGCAACTGAAAAAATTTTACCTTGAATGCTGATTCCTTACTTTGGTTAAACTGTGTCTCCCAAAAGTGTAAATGTAAGACATTGTCACGGTGGGTAGTGGAGATTGGAAAAGAGGACTCAGGTGCGGAGCGAAATGAAGAGTATTTAATAAGACAAAAACATAAAATGAACAAACCAACAAAAGAAAACCAAGGTCTCAGTAAATCCAAAACAGACACGGCAAGGCAGGATTGGGCACAAAACTCAACGTGACGAACATGTGTAACAAATACTACGACCGAGCACAGGACAGCAAACACAGGAACACTAAATAGGGAGGCAAACAAGGAGGGTAACGAGGCTGACATGTGGAGCAAATAAACCAATCATCAGATAACAAGGGGGAGGGATCAAACAATGACAAGAGCACATGGCTCAAAATAACAAAACACCCATGTGCATCACAAGACAGGACAGACATGTGACAGACATGCCCAGCTATCTGACACAAAGGAATAAAACCTTGAATTATAGGTCCTAGATTATATCAAAATATACAATAGTATTCAGAATAGCCTTTGGTTTACCATTATAGTGATAATTGAAAAACTGAAAACAGTAGGAGAGGTCACCAGTCACCTTTTGGATGTAGCCTACTAAATCAATATAAAATGATCCTGCAGAATACCAAAATTTGCTGTATGTGATAAAAGTGCATTACATTTATAGAAATAATATAGCTTAGTTATACTGTGACCATTTGTCTATAATCATCAAATCTTCAACCCCCCCCCCCCCCCCCCAAAAATGTTTGCACTCGTGCCCCTGAGCACAAAATTCCTCTGAAAATGTGTGTGCCATCACTGACTGAATAAAGGCTGCAATTGTCTGTGACAGGAAAGAATAAAGTAAAGAGTGCAACAGAGCCTTGTACCTAGTCTCTGTCTATAAATATAAGCCTCAGGGCTCAAGCGGAGCGTGTAATGATCTAGGTTGGGTCACCTTGCCTTGAAGCATTATTTATGCGGTTCTCTCAGGACCTCACAGAGCCCAAATCAGTCAGTTCGTACAGGTAGCACTGAGCGCTCACTTGAACGTCACAATCCATAGACTCTGACTAGTCAAGAAGAGTGATGCCACAGACTCATGTTCATTTTTATTTTCAGAAGAGAACACATACACATTATTTGTCTTTACATCTCAGGGCTGGAAATTGGAAGGTTGCTGGTTCGAGTCCCGAAAGGAGAAAGCCGCAATGAACCATCACCAATCTTAATCCCAGGCTTTGTCTTTGTAAATGCTTAATTCTTGTTCTGTTAGTTCTAGGGGTGTGATTATTTTATTAAAATACAATTTAATAAAAATTAATAAAAGATTTTATTATATTGAAATATTTTTTACAATTCAATGCATCATATGGTGATGCAAAGGTCATGGGTTCTGTTCTCAGGGAATGCAATGCAAGTTGCTTTGGATAAAAAGCATGAAAATAGTTTAAACATTATAGTTTGAATATTAATGAATTATATGTTGGTTATTACCCAGATAGCACACGTACATCACGGAGACGTCTATTTGATGTGCGTGTTTACATCTGGAAGACAAATTTTTTAGAGTGTTTGCTCATCTGCAATACGTCTATAGGACGTTTCCTGTCAGATGTCAAATAGACGTTTAGAAGATGTCTTTAAGATGTAATGATTTAGAATGTATGTTAAACTGACATCTTAAAGATGTCTATCAGATGTTAATAAACAGCAGATGCTTTCCAGATGAAGTGATCTTTAACAGACATCTTGCAGAAGTACGTGCTAGTATGCACTAATGATAAATAGTAATCATAATGCATCAGTTTACTTAGTAGATATTCTTAGGATTTTAAACTGCTGCTGGCAGCAAGAGTGTAAAAAAAAATCAGAAACTTTTTTGATGAACTGATGCTTAGGTATGTGCGCTAGTATCTTATGTTTTAAATTTGGGGACTAGATGAGGAGCTGAGAACCAATGGAAAAGTGCAATTGCAGAGATTGTACATTCTTTATTAAGGAGAAACATTTTGGTCTCTCGTCTTTTCTGGACTTTATGATTTGCTGCACCAAATCTCACCTGCTGTTCATATGTGACTCATCTGTCTGCAGGTTCATAAAAATAAAATCAACAGTGTGAATCTTTACTCTGAGAAAAAGACCATGCTGAGTTTTTCACAAACCATATACAAATATGCCTTAAGAGTTAGACACCTGCTAAGGTGGTCTAGGGGGTTGGGTCTTAAATGGAGATTGAATGACTTGATTTAGATACATACAATCGGCTATCTGCACGTCAAATCACTGTCAGTGATTTCCAGCTGTGTCAATTTGTATATAGGCCTATAACATGATAGGATATAAGGCTATAACAGCCCCGTGATTTTGTGTGATTTACAGGGCAATTCGTCACCATTATGTAGAATATGAAGATCTGACAGGAGGCGTGAAGGTCTAGCCGCCCCTGGCCAATGTGTGTCTGAGCAGAATTACACAGCGAGCAGCAGTGGAGTGTTGAGTGGAGTCATGATTCAGTGCTGTCGAAAGGAATGAATAAACGGGGCGAAACATTCACAGAGCAATTGAATAAATCCTAAGGACGTTTTCACCCTCTTGGGTAGCGGAGTTTGATTTAAGTTCGCCCGTACTTAAACGCGAGGATACCACAATTCACGGTAGGTGTTTTAAACTGGACGATGAGAGCATCCGATCACTGTGGAGACGCGTCTGTATTTCTGAGGATCTGAAAGTTTCTTAGCATGACATGTTTTGCGATGACATAATAGCTTACAGTTGATAAATAAATACGTTTTAAAAATTTTAAAATTTGTGTTGCTTTTGGCTGCCTTGCAGCGAGTTGCATCTGCCAAATTTCACTCTAATATGTGAAAGAGAAGATCGTTTGAAGAAACCCATTCTTACTAAGCATTGGACGCGAAGTTTTGTTTTACTGTAGTCGATGGCTTACTGTAAGGGAACATTTCACGTTGCCCCATTATAGGTGTATGCATATTTGGAGAGGAATTACAGTAGGATTGTTTACATGTTTAATCACCTGGTAAATATTACAGCTATCTGTTTGCATCGAACAAGGTGGGAGTGGCCACGTGATGTTTGGGTGTAACCAAGTCATTTGCAATCTTGTAGATGGAGCTATTTTGTTCTTTGGAAGGAAGGATGTGTTTGTGGCTGAAATGACTTGTAATCATAGCGGGAGCGAAGGTTTACTTCTGTCTTGGTTAACTTGTATAATCACATTTGGCACTGGCAGCTGCAAACCTAATTTCATTTTGTGCATTTGAATTCAACCCAGCCATGTTTTTCCTTTTTTATACTATTCCTATTGCTCATTTTCAGGTAAAGTGGGACAGATAATATACAAAATCATCAGCAGGGATTTTAAGTTTATACCAAGTTTGTTCACTGCAATTTTAGAAGTGAAATATTTGTTATATATTCTACAAATTTCTTAAGTGACAAAAGTTATATGCCAAAAGAAAATAATAAACAGTATGGTTTTGTGGAAGATGTAAGCTGGTCTGTGACTGGTGCAAGGTGGTCTTCCAGGTCTAACCCGTTTGATGAAAGTCTTCCTGGTCAATCTGCCTTTCCAGCTGGTAGTCACTGATTAATTATCTAGATCATCTTGGACCAGCTAATGGCCATTAATGTTCAGCTTGATCCTACTACAGATCTAAAACAAGCAACCATCATAGTCCGATTCAGTCTTACTCAATCTGATGATCCCATATCTGTACAGCTCAGCTACATTAGATTATTATGAAATATTCAAGCATTAACTGTTGCATGACAATGATCATAATCCCTCTGATCAATTTTATTTATACAATTTACAATAGTCCTTTGTGATTGTTGCTTGACAGACCACAGACATGATCCCTGCTGTAACCAATGTCACACTGTAGGATCTCAGTTGTCTTTAATGTCAGACTATACGACAATAAACATTAGTTAAAAACGGATGCACGCAAGAAGACTCGTCCAGAGTTTTATATTGTCAATCCGTGACACGTTCAGTGACATTGAGATAGATGCGAGATAGAAATGGTGGCTAGCAAACCAAAATGATATCTAGTGTTAATTTTGATCATGGCTTGTCTTGAAAAGACAATGTGTGTGGAGTTTGTTGTCACACTAATTGTGTCTTCAGGTTCTGTGCTCCTATTATTTTTTTATTTGATGGTTGTCGTAAAAGAAGTCACTACATGACTGTGCCTCAACTTCAGACATGCATGGCAGAATTTCATCAGAGGTAAAATTTAATCGCAATGGTCATTAATAAGCTGTCAGCGAACATGTCAAACTAGCGATCAAAGACAAATTTTAGCCTATGATCAGAGGAATCGTTTAGGATTTGCAAAACTAGTCTCAGATGGCCAAATCGTGGCCAAAATTGTACAGTGTGCACCCGGCTTAACATGTTAAGGCAAAGTATGTAATTGACCATTGAATCATCATTTAAAACCCATCATAAAAGATGATGTCCCATTTCTGCCGTACACACCCTACACAATTTCAGACACACATTCTTCAGTACTCCTAATACCTCTGCAATAGGTTTTCATTCATGACACTACGGTCACAAATCCCTGCTTCCAGAGATTCAGTGGCCATTTAAACTTAAGGTAGATGTCAGGAAAAAAATCCCTTTTACAGCAGCAAGAGCCGTCATCCCCTTGATATCTATTGCTATTCATCCTCTGGCTTTAGTTAAGTCAGGGAAAGCCACTTTAAAGAAGCAGTCGCACTGGGGAGGAGCTGATTGGCAGGTGAGGGGCTGATTTGGAGGCAGCGGGATTAGAGAAGTGTCTGAAAGAGAGGAGACGAGAAGCTTGGTCAGGACCTGATTCCCCTTCAGTGATTAAACCGATTAAATGCGGAGAAAAAGAGGGTTGTGGAAGGGTTGACGTGCCAACACAAAGACTTTTCTCACTGTGTATTTGCTGTTTACAGCATAAAACCTAATTCACGTATGTCCATCAGAAACAATGGCACTTTAAAAGGGGCTCAGACGGTTTAAGTCAATTATAAAAACTGTCAAGGTGTCGAAAGCTGTTGGGTTTAGTCAGGGCTTTATGGCTGGCAGGGGGCGAAGAAGAGCAGATCAGCACCGCAGGTGTAGCTCTTGAGTGACAGCCTATATCAGTATACCTGTGATGCTAGTTACGAAATAGGCTATAATGCCTACTGTCTTCTTTCTTTATCTTGTTTGCAAACATTCTGTTAATGCTAGTTTTCCCTCTATGTCATATAATTGTGGTTAAATGTCTGACTAAAAAGAACATAGCATTACTGAAGTATATTGGTAGGGTCTGTTATTTTGTATTCAAGATGATAAATAAAATATTGGGTAACTCATAAAATATTTATTAAGGGATTATTAAGCATGATGGGTGATACTGAGGAAGCATTTCTGACCACATAAAGTCAGCAGAATTGTACATCCTTCTGTTTTTATGTACTAAATGAAGAAATTATTTAGTATTGCAATTTCCCACGTGGAATTTCTCTTATGTGTTGAATTGAGCTTTTTTTCTGGACCACTTAAAGGGACAATCTGTAATTTACTCAGCTTAATGTTGCTTTAAACCCGTGACTTGAAAGAAAGTTGACATTAGGTAGAAGTAGAGCCTCAATCACCATTCATTTTCATTGGATCTGCATTATTCTAATGAAAGTGAATGGTGACTGAAGAAGCTGTCATTCTATCTGACATCCCCTTTTGTGTTTCATTCACGTCCATGTTTGGAACAATATAAGGATGTGTAAATGACAGAATTTTCATTTTCAAACATTCAAATGCTGGCCACCATTTGGCTGGGTTGAGCCAAATTTAGAATTTAAGAATTGGAAGTGGAATTTAATGAACTACAATTCAACAGAAATGTAACAGGTTATGTCAATGGCAACTTTTTTTCCTCCCTGGTCCTTAAATTTGTCAAAAATAAAGTAGTGTATTTGAAAAATTAAGGACTTCTATAGAAACAGATGTATCTCTCTGCATGTAGGGCTTTTAAAAAAATATTCCAACAATGTTTTAAACTTTCAAACAAAACTTTGTCAAGCCATAATTCAAAGTTTGTCTTGATGAGCCCTCTCTACACTTATTACAGTTATATTTCAGTTCATTTTAATATTCCTTTCTTACGATTCAAAGAGCAATTCTGCATCCTGTTTGCTTCCTCAATTCAAATTCAGGAATTTAATTGGAATTTAAAAGCATTCTCAACCGCACAACCCAGCACCATGCAACATGTCAGAGCACATGCCTGTCCCACCAGGCCACGTTTCCAACAAAAAAGAGTTCCTTTGTCCGGGACTCCACCTGTGAGCATTTGTGATGTTTCTTCCCCTGCCATGATCAATGGCGACCCAGGAGATCCCAGATTTCAGCTTGGAAAGGCTGTGCATTGAGGCCTCGTCTGGGCCCATCTGAAAAGCTTTTGAAGCTTCCGTATGTGGTTGAGAATGTCGATAAAGCGCACAGGTGTCTGTGTTCATTTCTACTTTCTGATGCGAGTCAGGGACCTGCACCATGCAGCGCAATGACTAATTAGAAAGCAAAAGAGAGACAAAATTTTATTTCACAATGAGGCAGTTCTATCATTCCACGCTGCACGTATGTGTAGACTGGTGTCTTTGTGGGGAGTCACGGTGAAATTTCCAGGGACAAACAGAAGTCCCATCTGTTCCTGTTTTTCATCTGCAGTCAAAGCCTTGCTGCTTTCTCTAAAGGCTTAACAGAGGCTAGTATTTGACTGCATTCAGGTGTTACATTTGTTCCAAAGCTATGTTATATAAAATGTGTATATATATATATATATATATATATATACTGTATACACACACACACACACACACACACACGCACACACAGGACCTCAATGATATTTTACATCTGCTGTACACTCTTCTGCTTGTCAATCAAGTTTTAAAATTAATTGTGGCTGGGCTAAAAGTCTTGTTTTATTTAAAAAAGGAAAAAGGACCATTAACTGCCCATTCTGAAGACAGTATTATGGTTCTTTGTTGATGTCTGCGGCATAATGAACAATGGCCAGGTGGTGCCAGAAAACCTTCTTTCAAAAATACTTTGATACGGCAGGATATTTAGCTTGTATTGTCAGTAAGCCATGTCCCTCCCTAATTGTTTTCTCTGACAGACCTTTTTTGGTATGCACAAAATTAATTTCCAAGTGAAATGAGTTTTGTACATCAATGTACATCTCCCAAAGCTTAGAAGTAATAAACTTGGCTTAACACTTGTGAGCTCACAAGCTGATAAGCAAACTAAAGATGAAAAACATCATATCATGGAATGCAGGTGTGCCTCACTGGACCAGTGTGGAAATTCATACTGGTATTATATGGGAATGTGTTTTCTGTACAGTTTGTGTGTGTGTGTTTAGTTTACACTTTAGTAAAAACAGTAATATTGTGAAATATAATTTTCAGTTTACAAGGACTGTTCTCTATTCTAAAATGTTTTAAAATGAAATTTATTCCAGTGATGGTGTATTATTGTTGTTGAAAACATTTGCGTTGCTCAAAAATTTGGGGACAACCAGGATTCTTTGATGAATATTCTTTGTCTTGTATCAAGTCGCAGCAGTTTAATGAAGCAGTTTGACATCTTTAGTTTTCTCGCTTTGAC